CCTTCAACTACTGAATATTTAATTTTAGTTCGTCTACAAAGACTCAGTTCAGCTTGTCCATAAAAACACCATACCATTGTCTCATTTATATAGACTCCGTGTTCTTCAGACTCAGCTCCTCCCTTAATACTCCCTTGTCTATAAAGACTCCCTTCAGCTCGTCTATAAAGACTCCCTTCTTCAGCTCGTCTATAAAGACTCCCTTCTTCAGCTCGTCTATAAAGACTCCCTTCTTCAGCTCGTCTATAAAGACTCCCTTCTTCAGCTCGTCTATAAAGACTCCCTTCTTCAGCTCGTCTATAAAGACTCCCTTCTTCAGCTCGTCTATAAAGACTCCCTTCTTCAGCTCGTCTATAAAGACTCCCTTCTTCAGCTCGTCTATAAAGACTCCCTTCTTCAGCTCGTCTATAAAGACTCCCTTCTTCACCTCGTCTATAAAGACTCCCTTCTTCAGCTCGTCTATAAAGACTCCCTTCTTCAGCTCGTCTATAAAGACTCCATTCTTCAGCTCGTCTATAAAGACTCCCTTCTTCAGCTCGTCTATAAAGACTCCCTTCTTCAGCTCGTCTATAAAGACTCCCTTTTGCTCGTCTATAAATTCGGCCTTCTGATTCAATACATTATTTTTATTAATAAAACATAAAACGTATTTGTTTTTATTTTTATTAGATTTTTTAATCTTTATTATAATATTATATTTATATTCCTTTTTTATTATTACAAATTTTGGTTTGATTTTAAGAGTAAGACGCCTTCTTATGTTTTTATATATAAATTATAATTATAATAATATTATTTAGAAATATAATATATATAATCAAATTATATAAAGAATAATAATTATTATATATACGCGTATATGAATTATATGTAAAATAATGTAAATGTAATTGAGGGAGGGGGCCAGGCAATATTTTTGGGGGGCATCAAAGGAAATTGAGAAAAATATTACAAAATATATAAAAGAAAAACAAATGTTTCTACAAATGAAACATAAAGATGAAGACAAACAAAATAACAAAATTTTGGGGAAAAATATAGAGGAAGAAAAAAATAAATTTTGGAAGAAAGAGGAGGAGGAAAAACGACGTCTTTTTTTAATATTATTTTTGTATTTTTTTCTTTTACTGAAACAATTCTTAAGATGGTGGGTTCTTGTTGTTTTTAAGTTACTTGAACTTTATTCCTTTGTTGTTTTTTAATTATTAAATTAATAATTGTTGGTGTTTGTTTCTTATCATTTGCTTCTTCGGTGTATACTTTTTTACTTTTGTTTTGTAAAAAAAAAATTAAAAATACAAACTTATTTAAGAAGTGGGTTGTTGTCAAGAGAAAAATATTATTAATTATTATTAAATGTAGAAGAATGGGGTGGCACCAACACCAACCTTCTCTCCGCCACTTTTTTTTGGTATGAGAGAGAAAAGTCAGTTTTCAAAAAAAAAAAAAATTGTTATGAAGTTTGAACTAAATGGGAGATTTGTTTGACGACAGGTTACACAAAAAAGCAAATAAGAAATTTTATATTGTTTCTTTTTGTGTTATAATTATTAATATATTTTTTTTAACATATATTTAAACTTAAACTTTAAAGAAGAAAAGAAAAGTATCAAACTTTTAATTGTTTGTTTCATTTGATATTAATGTGTAAAGGAAGGGAGGGAGGTAGGGAGGAAAGGAAGAAACATATGCTCTTTTAATTTTGGCTAAAAACTGCTTTTGATTTGTTTTGTCTTTTTTTCTTGCAGAATTTTCTTTTTGGCTGTTTGAACTTTTTTCTTTTTTTTTTAATATATTTTCTTTGCATTTAGTTATCGATTCCTTTGTTTTTAAATTCCTTTAGTTGTAATTCTTACAATTATTCTTTACTATATAGTTTTGTAATATATGTGTGGGTGTGAGTTTGTGTTTCCGGTTCAAATCTCTCCATGTAACTTGGTATGACGAATAATGTTTGTTGCTTGATAACGATGATGATAATAATGTATGATGCTGCTGCGGCTGGAACATGTTGAAGTGTGCGGGAGGAGTGAATACAAGTAGAATTTGTCTTCTTGGCTTTGTTTCTTCTTAATTTCTTCCAAAAAAGGGGTAGTTGTATGTGGGGGACCAGGGGTACATTTATAGAATATTTTGGTGGAGCTCTTACTTAATATATAATTTTTAAAAATATAATTATTTTTTTCTTGTTCTTGTTTTTTGTGGTTTGTTTTGCTTGTTGTTTTTTGTTATAGATTAAGGAATTTCGAAAGTGTTTTGTTTGTTTGTTTAGAAATTTTTACGTTGATTCTCGTGGACACTGCAAAGAGAATGGGAGAAATGAAAAGGAAATTAGTATTTTGGTATTTCATACTAAAATCAATTAAATATAAATATATAATATAATACAAAGATGCCATAAATTTATATTTAATAAAAAATAACTAAAATATACATTTAATAAGCCAAACATATTTTTAAATTCTTTACTCTTAGTAAGAAGGAATATGGAAAATTCGAAATTCTTAATCTGTACTTTTAAATTCAGAATTACTAAAGTATTGTACGATTAATTTTGAAAACAATGGTCATATTTAAATAAATTATATATAGAAACTGGGATTTAATTATTATAAAAATTACTCCGTACAAAAATAACTTTTCTCCACAATTATAGCTTCTCTAAAAAATATTTTTAATAAATCCAAGCTTCTATAGTTTCTTTAATTTTTTTTTTTAATAAGTCCACGGCCCTTTAGCTTCTCTAAAAATTATTTTTAATAAATCCAAGCCTTTATAGATTTAGACCAGGCACGGGCAGAGCGTAAAAAATGGTCTCGCGAGAGAGCACGCGTGCGGTGGTTCGACCGATACGGCTTTAGACCCTGATTTTAGTAGATTAAGGAAACGTTTTTATATATTTACCGACTTGTATTGTCGTTCTCAAGTTTAATGTAAATGGTGGTCGATATCATTGGGGTTTATCATATTTATAGACGTTGCACGACTGTGGGTCCAGAAGACAACAATATCATCACCTGTCAAAGAGGGTGTTATATGTGTACCTGTCCAATATCCCCAAAATACCGAATGTTGGGGTTTTGGGGCTCTACCGAAACGTGGACAAAAATTTGATGAAAATAGAAAATTTGCTGTATACACCCTAATTAGAGATAATTTTCCACAAATAAATATCAAGTTTGCAAAATTCTTTTGTTTTGTAACTAATAGTGAAATTTGATGTAGAATAAAAACGAATCGCTACTAAGATGCAGTCTTATTGAAGATTTTGACACATTTCTGCAAGGTGTTTAATTAACACTTATTTAAGGGTCAACAAAGAATTTGTTACCAATATTGTAAATTTCTAAAAAAATATAAAATATAAAATATATATATTTAAATATATAGTTTTTGAGACTCATAGTGAAATTTGATGTAGAATATTTCATTATTTGATACGATAAATAAAAAACGAAGTTTTAATTACTTTCATACAGTTTACTGAAAAAAGTACTGCGAAAAAATGAAGTCTACATTCTCCATATATATATATATTATATAATATATATATAAATATAATATACAAAATTATTCCTCACTTTGATATCAGTTATATTGCGAAAGACCCCAATATATTTAAATTGCAAGAGTTTCGAGAAATCCTAATCTGAATACTTTCAAATCTCTTGAAGTGGGGAAAAACTTCGATCATTAAGCTCGACTCGAAGGAAAAAAAATTTATTTAAAATCATCTAAGTCATCATCGCCCTTACATGTAAAACTCAGATAAATATTATTTCAGCTATGTGATCATAACGCTGAATCATTAAAACATGTAAAACTCACATATATATCAGTAATATTGTCAAAGACGCTATATACCTAAAATGCAAGTGTTTCGAGAAATCCTAATCGGAATATTTTCAAATCTCTTGAAATGGGGAAAAACTTCGATCGTTAAGCTCGTTTCGAAAGAGTAAAACTGAGTTAAAATCATTTAAGTGATCATCGCCCTTACATGTAAAACTCAAATAAATAAAAATGATTTCAGCTGAGCAGTGATAGGATGAATGTTGTCAGACCACTTAACGTTCTGAATCATTAAAACATAGATTGCAAGTTAACATATATTTCAAATCTAAACTACATGTGAATGTCTCTTAAAAATATAGGATAACAAATGTGATATTTTGAAAGTAAGAGAATAATAATGATCAAAATAATGTTGTACTTAAATGTTTAGTTAAATCTTTTTTGATTCTAATATTTTATGCTTTCAAATCTAGATGTATAAAATATACCCAAAGCATAGCCCTTATTGTTTTGGAAAAATAGCCTTCCCCAATATATATAAAATACAATACAATACGAATATAACTTGTGTATGATTTTGAAATGTTTATTATTTTAATAAAAATGTGATTTTTCTGTAAATATTTTTTATATAGATTTTTGTATATTTTTTATATATTTTTTAGTATTTTTTAAATATATTTCATTATATTTTTTAATATGATTGTTTTAATATTTTTTTCTTTTTTAAATAGGTTTTTTCAAATAATGAGTAATGAGGAAAAATTAGTAAATCTGAGTGATTTTCTTTTCTTCTTCTTCCAAGTTCCCTTTGATGACATTTTGTTAGCATAGATAGTAAAATTTCGAATATGTAGATTATTAATACAAATTGTAAGAAGACAAGGGATTTATTGTTTAAATCTAAAGCAAAACAACAAAATCACTAGTCTTCCAAACAATAAGTATCTCGTGATTGGATGATGGAGAGTTTGGTTACCATATGTTGTTAACTGGGGATTGTTTGATATGAACTTATTAGAGAAAACACACCACACACTTAAAATGAAATGAACTTTTTTTCACCACAAAATACACCTTCACCATAAATTTAAAAAAATGTCAATGTATATAAAATTGATAATAATACAAATCACCACTTCTTACAACAAAAATAACTAACACTAAAACAATGAAATACCTTACCCATAAATGGGATTTTAAAACTAAATGAAGTTTTTCTTCAACTCTAACCTCTGTTGCAACATATGCTGGGCCATTTGTATTTGTTTGGGATTACCCGAAATGGTAATAATACGATCTGAGGAACCCGGTAATGGTTCATCGATGGTTATATAAGCACCCGACTCATTACGTATGCGACGTATACGACTGCCACCTTTACCAATTATAGCACCGGCCATCTGGAAAATAAAAACAAACGGGAATTAGTAACAAATTTCTTGGCTCCCCATCCATCATTTTCAACTTACTTCTTTTGGTATGGAGACCTGTGTACTATTCTTTGGATCGTGACCATCGGGTAGAGTACCGGTAATATTATTCGGTACATTACCATTGGCACCAAACACCGGTGCCGGTCCACCACCAACGCCCATGCCATTGCCCATGGCGGGACCAGCAGCAAAACCTCCCTGATTCATGCCGCCAACGCCTGCACTACCATATCCTTGATTGACTGGAGCACCAAAACCAGTTCCACCATAACCGGCAGCTGTGTTGCCGCCACCAAAACCACCTTGGCCACCATAACCACCTCCACCATAATTATTAACCGGCATGGGACCGGCAGCAGCATTGCCAAAACCGCCACCACCACCAACGGCCCCAAAGTTATTGCCAAAACCACCAGCATTGCCGCCATAACCGCCGGCAGCAGCACCTCCGCCATAGCCAACATTTCCACCGCCACCATTGCCATAACCACCATCATCGTTGGCCCAGGGATTTACAAATGGATTGTCACGACGGCCACCACTGCGGCTGCGATCATCATGACGTCCACCACCACGACCATAGTCACGATCATCACCACCGCCTCCGCCACCACGACGACCACCATCCCTAGAGGGACGAGTACTGCCGGGAATATTGCCATAGCCGCCATATTCATCGGCATACATGCGATCATAATTCAGCGGGTCATAATTGTGGACGGGGCCTTTGATGGGAGTGTCACGTGTCAAGTTGATAACTTCACGTATGGCCTCGATAACTTCATTTTGTTTACCCACCGTCTGGACAACGCGATCTGTGCTCTGGGGTGCTACATTCGAGAAGACCTTTAAAATGCGGCAGCCAATTTTCTACAAAGAGAAAAAAGAAAAAGAAGAGACAAATTAGTAAAGTTTGAAAGCAAAATTTAACAGCTATCTAAATATTAATTCTTTTTGGCTAATTCAGCTAAGCTGAACATGATTTCTAGCATGATTTTTATTGAAAATGTCCAAAAACCTAGAAATTTAAAATGAGAATTTTCAATGAAAAATGTGTTTTTATGAATTCAGCTCAGCTGAATATGATTAAAAAGGTCATTCAGCTAGCTGAATTGTAATCATTTGGTGAAATTTTGTAGAATTTTCAAATTAAAATATCATTTCTGGAATTCAGCTCAGCTGAATACGATTTAAAAGTGTGATTTTTGGAGAAAATCATTAAAAATGGTTCAAATTGTATAGTATAATACACATTATAATTACATTTTATGATAATTTGACTTATTCAGCTCATTTAAAATGTTTTCACCAAATCATATAAAATGTGTTTTGATGAATTCATCTGAGCTGAATATGATTTAAATAAATAGCTGAATTGCAATTATTTAGCAAAATATTATAAAATTTTCAAATGTAAGTGTCTTTTGGTGAATTCAGCTCAGCTGAATATGTTTTAAAGATGCGATTTTTTGTTGAAAATCATTAAAAATTGTGGAATTTGTGAAATGATGCTCCAATTCAGCTGGCTGAATTGTAATTATTTACTTAAATATCTGAGAAATTTTAATGTAAAATGTGTTTTGATGAATTCAGCTCAGCTGAATATGATTTAAAATGTAATTCAACGAGCTGAATTGCAATTATTTGGCTAAACATCTTAGAATTTTCAAAATAAAGAGTTTTTCTATGAATTTAACTCAGCTGAATATGTTTTAAAGATGTGATTTTTTGTTGAAAACCACCAAAAATGGGTAAATTTGAGTCATTATTCCCAATACAGCTGAATGGTATTTATTTTATTAAATATTTGAGATTTTCTTGTTGTATAATTGCCAAAGATTTTTTTCCCACAGTGCATGTGTAACCAAATCCCCGTTTTATATCACAAATTCCCATAAACAGAAAAATCTCCTAAGGTCGAATTACCATAATTCCCAAGGATTTTCGTGTTACGTAGTGATTGGCTAGCTCCGTTTTCTCACAAACCCCAAAAAACACTTTATGCTGAATACTTTTTTCCCACAAGCGTGTACCTAGGCGACAGCTGCAGGCATTGTTGTGGACATCGTCAGACCCAAAAAAAAATCCTTATAAAATCAACAGCATATTGTCGAAGAAGAAAGGAAGAAAAAAGTCCAAAAAAAAAAACTCAAACAAAAGAGGCTGCAGAGCATGTGAGTGAGTCCGTCCGTCCAGCAATCCACAAGTAAATACCTTTAAGGTAACATGTCAAATACTGCAGAGTATGAAGAGGTCGTCTACGGCAATCTCTATGCAACATATCAACAAAACAACAACAACAGTAAGCATTTCCTGATTTCCGTGGCAACTGCCAGAGACAGGCGGCAAGGGCCAGGGAAATGTGAATAGGGAAACAGGGCAGAAAAGGGCTCTTTTTTCGTTTGCTAACCCGAAAAAACCAATTGACAAGCTGGTTGCTTGTCTGGCTGGTTGGTTGGTTGCTTGGTTGGCAAGGACCGCAGGAATGTTGTGTGAAGTGTTTTCGATGTTTGTATTATTGTTTTTGTTGATGCAGCAAGTAAGCGAAAAACGACCACAACAAAAACAAAAAGATGAGTAGCTGTCATTTCAAATAGCAGAGCAGAGAGATAGAGTGGTGTTCTGCCTTAAACAGTTCCACCATCACCCCGCACCACATTCAGCTTTTGTTGATGATACAACAACAACTTGAGACTACTAAGAGCAGAATGTAGATGACACCTCTTGTTTTGATGTCGGTGTGGTTGTTGTTGCTGGGCTTTGTAGGTCATGTACATGTGAATTGGCAAACATACATTTTCACAGGATATGAATTACTACTCGAAGACCTACCACACACACACACATAGATAACAAATAATACACAGAGAGCAAGGCATGCAGGCGGCTTAATGTATTTAAAATACACACACATACACATTCATATAAGTGTGTGTGTATGTTATTGCGGCTCTTCATATGGAAATTTCTCACACTCTGTTTTGTATTATCCATATGGCCAAAAGTGGAACTCAGAGGATGTGTGTTTGACTGTGTGCGTATGTGTGATGATGACAAAACAGCACTTAGAGACAAACAAAGCCAGCAAGCAAGCATGTGACAAAAAATTGTTGGGCAAAACACACATCAGACACACTCACGTGAATGTGACGATGAGGAGGACGAACAACAACAGGACAACAACATTCGGTTTGGATATGTAGGTTATGAGAAGAATATTTACGTAGAGGTTTAATTTAAGCTTTGTGTACGACGACGACGAGAGCTGTTGTTTCCCATCTCATGTCAAATGCACGCACATATATACACACACTCTCAAGTTATACAGAAGATGCGAATGATGATGAGTACTATTTCTAGTCGGGGCAAAAGCAACACAGTAAGCTCTTGCAAGAAGTAACTTCTCTAGTGGAAGGATGTGTGGCACACAAAGAGATATTATTATTATTAGCAAGTAAAAAAATAAGAAGGGTAAATTATGAGTGGCATGGAAAAAAGAAAAAAAATAAAGAAAAATGAAAAATAGGAATTTAAACAAGCTTTAGCTTTATGAATAATAATTCAACAACAATTAGGAGGGAATTTAAATACATAAAAAGTTTTAAATTTATGTTTTTGGCAAAATTTAATGCAATTCAGCTGAGCTGAATTGAATAAAAAATTATTGTTTTAGGGATGAAAATGCGAAACTTGCTTTTTAAATTCAATTTTCACACAATTCAGCTGTGGCTGAATTTGTATAAAATAATTATTAAAAGGTTGAAAATAACAAACTGGGGTTTTAAGGCAAATTTAAGAAAATTCAGCTGTAACTGAATAATAATAACTAATGAATCTGACAAAATTACTTTTAAATTAAAATTTCACACAATTCAGCTGTTGCTGAATTTATTGAATAATTATTTTAAGGTTAAAAATGACCAAATTAGTTTTGAAAGCAATTTTAAGAAAATTCAGCTGCAGCTGAATTGTTTGCAAATGTAATATTTAGCATTTAGAGTTGATAACATAGCTAAATATATATTTTCAAGTTATTCAGCCATTACTTACTTTAATTTTAATCAATTTTATTCACTAAAGTTGGCAAAATTTTAAATTAAAATTAAGATATTAAAGATAAAGATATTTAAATGTAATTTCGTTGTTGCTAAATGTAATGAAATCTCGGCTGAATTACACAAAATATTTGAATAAAGGTTGAAAATGCTAAAATTGTTTTTAAATTCAATTTTCACAGAATTCAGCTGTGACTGAATTTGATAAATATAATTATTTAAAGGTTTAAAATAACAAACTGGTGTTTTAAGGCAATTTTAGGAAAATTCAGCTGTAGCTGAATTGTTTGAAAATGTTATATTTATATAGGTAATTTTACTGTTGCTGAATTACACTAAAATAATAAACAGTACAATTTCTGAGTTTTCGGTTGAATACAATAAAAAAATATATTTTTTATATAAATTTTAAAACACTATATGGGAGTTATTTTTAGTTTTTTTTTTATTAAATAGAAAATAAATAAATAATAATAGTTTTATATAAAATAAAAAATAATTAAAATAGGTATATAAAATGTTTAGGAATATAAATAATAAATTAAAAATAATTAAAATATTAAACAAATTATTTAATACAAATAATAATATGAATTGTAATTTTATAATTAATATTTTAATACAATCCACTTCAATACATTATTTCCTATACAAATGTGTTATTCATCTAGCTGAATTGCAATTTTATGAATTATATTTCAATAATTTGAATTCAAAAATTATTATTTCTATAAAAAATATGTAATTTAGCTAGCTGAATTGCAATTTTATGAATTATATTTTAATAAAACTCATTCCAATAAATTTTTTCCTACAAAAATGTCTTATTCAGCTAGCTGAATTGCAATTTTATAAAATATTCTTTAATAAAATATCACAAAAAATATAATTTCTATGTAAAATATGTTATTCAGAGCTAGCTGAATTACCCAAAATTTAAGAAATTTCATAAAAAACTAATAAATTAAATTATAATACTTCACTACCGAGCTAAATTGAGTCATTTTATTGTCTGTCTTGCAACCAACCAACCACCACCTGTTGGTTCCCAAGCGGAAATGATAAATTTCTTATTCCCCTGTCTTCAATTTTGACGAAAGAAAAAAAGGAAGCAGTGAAATAACATGAATATATTTTATCTTCCCTCACTACACACACTTGTTCCTTATTGTATTTGTATACTTTTGTTGTTGGCTTAACATTTTCATGTTGTTGTATCCTGTTTTTTTTTTCTTCAAGTTTTCTGCATGATTGATAACACAACAAAAAGTAATTGAAAAATTGTACAGAAACAGAGAGAAAAAAATCTTAAAGGAACTATCAAAAATATGTATGTGTGTGGAGAGATAGACGATAAAAAGGCAAACATCCTGTGTGTGTATGTTTGCAAGGAAACAACAATACAGCAACAATAAATTGAAGAAGAACAAAACAAAAAAGTACGCACACATCAAAATCACATCCTGTCTTGGAAGACATTTCACAAAACACAAACAGGAGGAAGTAAAACAATTTTGGGGCTGGGAATCGAAGGGGAATTACGAAAAAGCCTCAATATAGTCTGATGAATATTGCCCTGAGAACCTCTCATTCTCTAAAAATCCAAAATATATCCACATCCTTGACGTACAAATTCTAAATCTTCTGCCATTTTTGATTGAATGTGGCTCCCTCAGCCATATCAAAAAGAGTTCTAATTTTGCCTATTGTGTTTGTCAGCCACCATGATATCATCCTGATGAATGACGGTTCTCCCACATTCCTACATAATTGTTTTTTGGAGGAGCCAAAAGGAAATGGAGCTATTGTTTGTTT